GAGCCGTGACGTCACGGCTCGCTCCGCCCATTTGACTTTCTCAGCTGTCAAATACTACATAGCATTCGGTAACTCCCGAATGCTATTCGTGAACTCCCAAATGACATTCATTGCCATGCCATGAATTTCGGACCCGAATCCCGAAAAACGAAATAAAGCAAAATCAGAATGAAAACGAAATGAAGCGAAACTAATTTTTTGTCAGTGCACATGTCTATTGTTTTCTATCACACTGATTTAGCAGTTCTTTGTGTCTTTTGGAATATGCATTTTTCTTCTTTCTATTAGGTTTCTATGTTACGCTGGTGGTTTCCCGATGGTGGGCCCAGTATGAGAGCGTGCCATGGTTAGACCGTATCATGTGCTTGGTGTCCAGTAATGTAAATGGAACAGATGAGCGAGGGAGGATGTTACGGCGGACACTTATGCGTTATGCCAGTCTCTCTGGTGTTTTAATACTGCGTTCAATTAGTACTGCTGCTTACAAAAGATTCCCTACCCTGCAGCATGTCGTCAATGCTGGTAAGTATCAATTGACTATTCACCAGTTTACAAATCTAGAATATCATAGTAGACTTACCAATGTACAATGGAATTAGGCCCGGATGTGTGGAAGGACCTAATATGCAGGCCCAGATTCCCCACAAGGCCACCGAGGCCCGGCCTCGGGGCGGCAGGGCGCTGGGCGGTAACTTGCTTTCTACAGTTAGTCCTGCTTTGGGAAGGCAGGACTAACTGTAGTGTGGGGAAGCCGCTTGTTCGTTTACAAGTGATCGCAGCGATGCCGCCGCGATCACTTGTACAATGTGTGCAGCGTGTCCGTCCTCCCCCGCACCTACCTCTCTCCTCTGGTTCTGTCCTCCCCACAGGCCGCCGAGTCCCTCCTCACTGTGCTCTTCCTCTCTCACCTGTCACAGGAGTTCCAGGACAGTGCTGTGCTAGAACTCCTGTATTGGAGGTGACAGGGTCAATAAAGAGAACCTGTCACCTCCAAAGGCTATCACACAGGGGCTTGTTAGCTAGCTCCTGTGTGATAGCAATAAAGTTAGGGGGGGAAAAAAATAAAAAAAATAATAAGAAATACAAAAATAAAAAGGTGATTAAAAAGTAAAAAATAATAAGAAAAAAATTATTAAAAAATAAGAAAATAATTATAAAAAATAA